TTTTTTTTTTTTTTTTTTTTTTTTTTTTTTTTTTTTTTTTTTTTTTTTTTTTTTTTTTTTTTTTGTTTAGTTATTTTCCCCTGCAGGGTTGGGGGGTGAGTTTGCAAAATGAGAAGTTTTAAAATTTGTGTGGATGATTGAATGATACTTGTGTAACTAGAGTTAATTAAAGCTGCATCCTTCCAAATTGCTTCTGGATAGTGGTTCATAACTCGCTCGAAGCTTCCCCGAAGAGATCTATTATATTTTTAGTTTAAGGTTCACATATCTTATACTTGGGTTTGACACATTTGATCTGGTTCTTGTATATCTTATATGATGCTATTCTGCCCCATATATGACAATGACTTGAAGGAGTACAAAGGAATTTTCAAATTGTCTAATATTGTTATTGATTACCATGTGAAAAATGAGTTTCTAGGGGCTTGATGCTTTGATCAATTAGTCTAGTAACCCATTTCTTTAGACAAAGACTCTTATTTTCTGTTGAGTAATAGTTCGAGTTAGTCTTGAAACTGCTCCTATCGTAAGTAGGATTGACTACGGATTCGAGCATCTCGGTTCGAGTCCGAGTAGGAGTCGAAACTGCGGCGGTTAAGAAGTTGCATGTCCTTTGGACCTTTGCTTACCATTCGTTGGTCTCTTTTGCTTGGGAGGGTGGCTGTTGGAAGTCCATCTCTTGCAGTTAACCTTTCCATTTTATATTTTTGTGTAGGTATGGCTGTTTCATCTAGACTGCAGGCTGCACGGGGATCTGTTGTCAACTTTTCAACATTAGTTGTCACCAATAGATGTGATACAACAGCTGGAGTGCCGTGCTTTGCTAGATTTATGTCATCAAAATCTTCAGAGCAACGTGGACAAAGCTCATCTCAGGTTTGTGTTCAAATTTGAGTTTGTTTACCATTGAAAGGGAGCTCTGGGTTTCTCTGGGTTCAATTTCTGAGGAAGGCTCTTTGACTGGGTCTAGATTCGGGTGTCTCAAATAATGTATCGTCAAATGATCATGAAGATGACTGACTAGCCTAGTCATCTGAGAAAAAATGATCATCTCTTATAAATCTTAGATCTAATAAAGCAAGGTCATGGGGATAATTAGAATATCAATAGTTTATGCAAGGAAAATTTAAGTTATTGTTAAACATTGTTGAGTGAATTTCTGTAATGTTTACTAATATATGAGTGAAAAGAAGTCGAGTAATTGTTTGGTTTCTTTTTAATATGAATAATTGCATTGTACGTTACCAAAATTAAATTCAACTAGGCATGCGTCTCATTGGGATGTTGGTAAAAATTGAATCTGACTTTACTGAGTGTTGCCATACATGCCTTTTATTAATTTCTTGCGTGCATTCTAATTTATCGGTGTTCGCCTGGTGAAGTCAGGACTAGTTATTGATCACTGATGAGTTCATAAACCTGGATTTTCCCTTGATTTTGTTAGCAGAGCAAAAAAGAAATATCAACAGTGGAGGATCCATTTGATGCTCCAACATATAATATACCAGAGAAGCCTGTTACATTTGCAGAGGGAGCTTCCTACAGTTTTATTATCCTTGCAGGGCTTGGAGTTGCTGCAGCTGCCGGATATGCAGTTTTTAAGGAGCTTATATTTCAACCAAAAGAGTAACAATCAACTTACATTTAGATTAATGTTATAAACGTATGCTTAGAATCATACTTCAAATTCCTTGTGATTTCCTCTACTTGGTGACTCTGATATGCAAATTCGTTTGCTTAGGTACAAGATCTTTGACAAGGCACTTAAAAGGATTCAAGATGACAGCCAGGTTAGTGAAATTAACCTTGAACTTTGTGTTTTGTATGTGTTCGTGTTTAAGAAACAAAATCCATTAAAGATACACATGTCCATGAGAACAAAGATACCAAATGTAACATAACAAATGCAACCAAGGCACAATTACATCTGCAAAAAGACCAAATGGCCGGAAAAGATAGCCTAGCAAGAAAACAAAAACTAGTCCTGCAAGTGACTAAGAGGAACTAACCAAACTACAGCAGATTCTCAGGTAATCACCAACCAAGAGAACCACATAGTGAACCTCTTCCACTTTAATTCAAGGAAGGTACCCTCTAGATGGACCTATATTTTCTCCACCTACTATGGATTAGATATAGTTCATGTTTTTTCAGCACCATGTTCGGAATTGAAAAGGCATTTTTCCATTATGCAGCATCTTAAATATTTCTTGCACCTTAATTGAGTCAGAAGAAGATGAATTTCACATCATGTCTTTTAGAGATGCAGGAACAGAATCTATATCTATATCTATATATATATATATATATATATAATGGTTCATGAAGGTTGTTCTTGTTGTTAATTATGAAAAATAAGTTGGGTTCGAGGGGAAATTGATAGGCACAGATGGGGGGCAGTGGGTGGGCAATGAGATAGTTCTTATGCATGTTGTCTTCTATTAAATTCGGACTATTGTGTAATTATTCTTTTTTATTATTATTATTATTATTTCCTTACTATAAGGATGTCTTGTCCTTCTCTTCAGTTCTCTCTTATGATTTTCTTATTTAAAACAAATTCCCTTTTGTAATTAAGTTTCTGTTTTTTCTTTTAATAAAAATGTACCCTTTTGAGGTCTACTCAACAATTGATTTACTTATTTCAGTGTTCAAGTTATCCTATGACCTTATATGTTTTAATAGATTGATTTTGCTATTCTGTCAGGTTAAGGTAAGGATTGGTTCCCCTATAACTGGCTATGGCCAAGAAACTAGAAATCGTGCTGCTCGACAATGTATCCCTAATAGGGTATGGACCGATGAAGATGGTGTCGAGCGAGTAGAGGTAGGTAATTCATGACTTAAATTGTGATAAGGTTTTCCCGTTGTGGTAAAAACAGTTTTCCCTTCCCATTAGAAATTAACAAATAAATGTTGTACAGGTGAATTTTTATATCCGTGGGCCCCATGGAGGTGGGAAAGTTTCTACTGAGATGTTCAAGGATCAAGTGGAGAAGCAGTGGAAGTTCACATATTTGATTGTGGAGGTGAAATCTTCTCCTCCAGTTCAATTGATCCTAGAATCTTATATGCCTGCCTGACCTTGGGGCACAACCAATTTGTTCAAAATATTTTGTATGCAATTCTACGTAGTTTTAGAATAATCATCTCATGTTTATAATATTTCTCCTTCCTCTTATCACATTTTAAACTGTTAATTTGGTTAGGCCAACTTTTTCAAGTTAATTATTTATGATTTCCTCCTACTCATAGCCAGGATCCACCAGATTCGACTTTGATGAATCAATCGATGAGATTTGAACTGGATAAGATGGGATAAGATAATATAAGCAATTGTTCCTATGGAGATAACATATTGGACTTGAGAAATAAAATTCATAAGATGCTTTACAAGTTCATGAAATGAGTTGGATATAAGTACCATTTTCCTTTTAAGGCATTTCTGGGGATGGTGATAGTGATGCTGGTGGATCTTGGCTGATCTGATTCTGGTCTCTGCTTGAACCCTGAACTTGTCCTGCAAAATGCAAATTCCAAAGAATATCTTCTACTGAAGGTCTATCTGCTGGTTTGTCATGGAGGCATCTTAGGCATATTTCCATCATCGTCTTCAGCGAATCGTCCGAGCATCCTTTGCATATTGCTGGATCTGCGATGCTCTTTCGAGCTATCGCATCTGTTTTTAGGCTTACCTGCAACTGATAATAGGAATGGAAACCAAATTCCCTTGTTCAGCTTCAAGGGGTACTTTTCAACCGGTTCTTAAAAGTGATTCTGAGATGGAAAATGTACTCACAAGATCTCTTGAAACATGAACTTCGTTTTGGGATGTGATTTGTCTTCCCAGAATGATTTCCAGTAAAATCGCTCCTATGTCATAGACATCACTTTTATCTCTATGATTTACTCTGTAAACACACAACGTCGAAAACATTCAAAGTTATATTGTACTACATAATTCAGTACTCTTGTAAATAGACAACCAAATTATTCTTTAGAAGATAAATTTGACATAAAAGTTTCTTTTTGGTTAAATCACAAGTTTAGTAATAAAAATCTCTAAATTAAATAAGATATTTGCTATGTCTCTGATCTGTCAATTTTATATCTAATACATCCTTGAACTATTAAAATGTAAAATAAGTATTTTAACTTTCAATTTTGCGTTTAATAGATTCTTGTTATGTTCAGGAATTAAAAAAACAAACTATTCTATTAGGTTTAAAATTAAATTTTATGTGAATAGTAATTTAGATTTGTAAATTTTAATAAAAATGTGAACAAGTAAAAAACTTATTAGACACAAGTTTGAAAGTTTAAGAATTTATTAGACACTTCCTAAACTTTATCATCAATTAGATATAAAACTAAAATTTATGGATCTCTATTCGATACTTCACTAAATATATATAAACTAGATAGTTGAGAGAGACAACTTTAATTTAATCTTTCGCAAACAAATATTTTTGCAAAATAAAAAACAAAAGGCTTACCCCATTGCATGGCGGTTCCCTTTAGTACCAGTGGATGAAACACCTGAAGTCATCTGAAAGCCAAAACAAATATCTATCAACTACACTCATTTTGAGAGATCAATATGCAAACAAATAAGATTTTTTTTTTTTTCCTTTCTGTATTATAAATCATACCATTCCACCATGTTCAACAATAATAGGTAAATTGTAACAGCTGATTTTCACATGGAGATCTTGATCTAGCAAAATATCTGTAATCTTCAAACTGTTTGAGCATACACCAGGAACAATTCCTGTGTGTAGGAACTGAACTCCCTTCACCGTTTCGATAGCAGACGATATTCTTTTCGTCCAAGAAAGCTTTTGCCCATGTAGCCCTGCAGAATCAAGTCTTTTCAAAACTTATGTCCATTGACACAAAAGTTTACTCTCTACTGAAATCATATGCACCGTCAGTACACACAAGTTACAGCAATCATAGCTATAGATATGCCATGAAAAATCATTTTACCAGATACATGGCTTCTTAGTGTCCCATATTGATAGTACTCGAATATAAGGAATACCCTGCTGATGGTTAAACCGTCTGGTAGGAACTCATAGCAGTGTCCAAGAGCACTGATCAAATGAATATGTCGCAGTTTAGATATCAACTCCAACTTATGCGTGAAGGTTTGAGGGGTTTGCCGCCTTCTCAAAGTTAAACTCCTAATCGTCACGACACTGCCATCTGTAAACACTCCTTTGAATATCTGTTATTGTCAAGAGTGAGACTTTGTTTGTAAAACTATTTTTCAGTTTCGTATGGTAGCAGATTAATATGTAATAATAATAGTTGCACAAATTTATCCTGGAAGCTATGCGCTCCGAGTGCACAGAAAATCAAGAAGCTACCACGAAAAGTTAGAAATTTAATGCCTCCTTATGGGCACTGGCCATAATTTTTTTTGTAATAATGAGCTTAGTCTTGTTCTTTTGGAATGGAGTTCATTTATGTAGTTTCAGACCCCTTCCCTTTTTGTGTGGGGCTTGAATTTTTTTGTATGCCCTTATATATATATAACCATTTATCTTATTGAAAGTGTGGTTTCTTGCCCAAAACAAAGATAATAATAATAAGTCTTTTCTGAAGTACTCACTTTCAAACATGTATTTTGAGAACAAAAATGTATAGAGAAAAGTCAATGGGATGTAAGATTTGACAGCGTAAACTAAGAGAGATATGGCAATTGCTGAACAATGAAAATATATTAGATGTAAACAGATACCTGGCCATCCAGACTTTCGCTTATCAAAGTCGAAGCATCGAAGTTGTTGGTAGCCTCTTTAAGTTCATCCAAACTGAAAGTTCGATAAGGAGGAAGACTAGTTCCCAGCTTCATTGTCTGAGATATATACTCTGCTAGCACATGGTGGATTTATACGAGGATGTATTAAATTCATAACTCACAATACATTCCTAGTGAAAATTAACAAAACTTGGTAGAAAAGAAAAGTAGTCCAAATAGAAGCGATTACTTTTCAATTCTTTTGCTTTAATAAGGTCGAACCAGTTCAAGAAATCATCAACTACAAAGAAAAAGAAGACATTTATCTTACTGGCATCATACAGCTGCTTGGCCGTATTTGTTACGGGTGAATTTTCTGTTATAAACCTTGTTGAAGGTTCTTTAACAACACCCATTTTGTATGTCCTTCTCATCGTTAAGAACATCAGAGCAAAAACTATAATTCCCGCAATACTTCCTCCTAAAATTCTTAAGAAAGTCATTACCCCGCGAGGAGGTTGCCTATGAGGCCTAATACTCACTGCCAAAGCTTCATTGTGACAGAACTTTAAAGGGTGCTGTTTTTGGTCTTGATTTGACAAGCAATTTCCAGCATAAATGATATCACCGTTCTTGGACTCCAATTGCTGAAGACAGGCGGGCAAGTCTCCTGTCAAGAGATTCGAGGATAGATTGGCAAAAGTAAGATCACTATTGCAAGATATGTTCTGTAAAAGCAGCCCAGTTAATCTGTTTCCCCCAATATTCAGATACTTAATCGAAGGAAGTGCCAAAAGCGATGCCAGAAACGGCCCAACAAGTTTATTAGAAGCTATGTCCAGCTTTTCAAGGTGATTCAAGAAGCCTAACTCAGCTGGGATACCCGAGCGAAATCTGTTGTTTTTTAGAACAAGTGTACTCAACCTCTTTGGTAATTTAGGAAACTGGGGTCCCAGAAGATTGTCTCCCAACTCAAGAACTTGCAAGTTCGTTAAATTGGTGAGGTCTGGGACGTTCCCAGAAAGAGAATTTCTTGAGAGAGTGAGAATTCGAAGACTCCACATATGTGTAATGGAATCTGGCAAGGACCCATTAAACGAATTGTTCTGTAAACTCAGAGTAGTCAAGACTGGTAGGGAACCAATCCAACTAGGAATGTTACCACTGAAACAGTTGCCGTCAAGATTGATAAACTGTAGGCTTTTCAAAGAAGAAAGTACCTCCGGGATGGAGCCATGTAGGGAATTTAAGCTTAAGTTGAGTATTTCAAGAGAAAAAATGTCACCAACAGTTAGAGGCAATGGACCCTCAAGACCCAGAGAAACCAGAGAAAGAACCTTCAAGTTGAGAAACTGGGAAAATGTGGAAAACAAGAGATCAATCGAAGTATTTTGTGGAAATGTGGGGCGCCCAACAACATCACCAACAATGTGGAGCTGGGTTATGTCATCCTCATAGCATACTATTGTAAGAAATGGTGTGGATTCAAGGTCACAAAAGTCTGTGACATTGTCAAAGCTGGTTAGAGCTTGAGGGTAGTTTAAAAGTTGCAGGATTTGCAAAAGGGATTGGGATTGAGAAGGTGGAAGCTGAGTTGAAAGATGAAAAGAGAGCAAAAACAAGAACAGAAGAAGATGGAAATGGCATGCTGCTTTAAGTTTTGCCATTAAAGCTTTATGTCGGAAAGTGGCTGCTCTTCGGTTGAACAGTCTAGAAGAGACCAAATAAGTTACAGTGTGCAGAAAGAAGCTGAAAACTCCATTAAGTAGAAATGAAACTCTTTCTCTCTCTCTCTCTCTCTCTCTCTGGCTGTCTCTTCAGGTTTTTTGATGGTAATAGATATTCAACATATTAAAGAACGCCACTAGAAGAAGTATAGTGGCTGCAGTGAAACAGAAAGCATTAACATCAATCAGTGCTTTTTCCCTTTCCCAAGGGATTAGAATCTAGACATTGCCTACACATTGCTTAACTTAAATTAAAACGGCTTAGTACACCACAATCGTAACACTGAATAAAGTAAAATGCCTTTGAGTAGACACGAAAACTCCATGCATCTAAATATCATTCTTTCAAACTTATTCAGGCAGGCAAGTATCTTAGTTACCATCACCAAATTTTATTAGTTAATTATCTATTAAACGGTCTCTATTCTAACAATATTTTTGAAACGTTTTTAAAAAGTCAACGATAACCTTGCAACTTTTAAAATAATAAAGATATATATATAAAAAAAAAAAGATAAATTAATAATGTATGTTAGCAGGTAGAAAAATGGAAGCTTAATATACAAAGTTGGCAGGTAGAAAAATCCAACTTAGTGACTAAATTATATCTATATTCTGACAAAATCCATGACGTATAACATAAGACAAACAGATTTTATAGATAAAATAACATTAGTTATCGAAGGTGATGGCAGGAACAGCCTCCACAATTACGATGCTAATCAATGCCTTTCTTGATAGAGATTGGAAAAATAAAATTTAAAAAAGAAAGAAAAAAGTATCTAACAGATACCGAGATAGATTTAAGCATAATCAAGTATACTTATAACTCAGAATTCACATAAATTTATCCATGAAGAATACATAGAAATATGTTCATAGGCTTTTTGTTTCGAAGTAGAACAGTATCCTATTTCCGGATACTCCTTAATTTGTACTTGATCGTATGATTAATGTATGTTAGCTGTATTTTGGAAAAAAAAAGAAACATAAATTATTCCACCAAAGTAATGTTATCGCCCTAATGGTCACACTTTAACCAAATACATTCATGCTTAAGCTTCTAAATTTCCAACCTAATTAATGTCATATAGAGTAGTAATTTATTTGAAGGCTAAAATTGCACCACTTTTTTTTAAGTTTGAAGTACAATTGAATAAGTCCATAATTAAAATTCAAACTTGGGATTAAAATTGATTTTTTTCGTTCAAGTTGATGTTAATTTATACTTTAAAAGACATCAATTAACTGTCTCTAGTGTCAAAAATATCTTTGTTTCTTCAAAAGTTGCAATAAATATTTTAAAATTTTATTAAAATAGAAATCTATTAGAATATTCTACGAAATTTAAAATTTAGAATAATATGGCGACCACTCAAAATAGAAACGGAGACTCGAACACCATCACACTCATACATGTTCCAATTTCATATGCAAGAAAAACTTAAATGATTTCTAATCAGTTTCGAAACATTAATGAAATGTTAAAATTAATAATTATAAATTTTAACGAGAGCTAAAGTTCAAATCTAATTTTTGCACATATACGTACAAATCTACATACGGTACACACATTCATACACATATATAACACTGTTAGAATCAAAAGCATGTGGTTCACGGGGAGCACAGAAGCTGAGCAAAAATAGGCATTTTAGGCTGACAAATCAAACAATGAAAAAGGGCTTTTTATTGTATAAAGGTCTTTTGGAATCTAACCAAAACATTTTGGAATACGATACAAACAACAGAAGCCTCTCATTTCATCTCATATTTTCAGCTCTTAGCAGCAGACTCAGATTTGGGCCCCTCAAGTCTTGAGAGTCACGGGTGAATCTTTATTGGAGCACTGTTTGGAATTTTATTCAATGATTGAGAATTTTTAATGGGATTCATTTTTTATCTCACTAAATACATACTGTTTCAATAAAATAAGAAATAACTTTTTTTTTTTTTTTTTCCAGGAGTAGAGAATTTAAGTATAGGAGATTTCGTGTTTGCCGTCTTTGGGTTCCTTTTTCTTCTTTTTGTCTTTTATCTCAGAATTTGGAATTGGGCAAATGTTTCCTCACGTGAGGCTTCTCTTTTCTCTTTTATACAAATTTACATTTGAGAGAAATTCGACTCTCAAATACTCAACGGCTGATATGGTTGGTGGGTTTTGTTTATTAGGTTAAATACAAATTTAATTTCAAACACGACTTATTAGGTTAAATATTTGTTGTAATAATCTCTTAACGTTGGAGTGTTTTTTTAATTTAATCTCTTATATTTTCATAGTTTTTCGTTTAGGTCATTGTTGATATGGTGGGTTTAGCTTATTCCTTTTTTTTTTTTTTTTTTTTTTCCTTCCCTGTTTTAAATGATATTACAAAATAATAATAATAAAATAACCATTTAGGAATCTGTAGGCCATACCTGCAAAGCTTATTTCGAGGTTTGATTTGCACAGGCAATCCTTTACCTACAACAATCAAACCTCGAAAACATCAATGAAATAATATATAGTTTTTACATAAAAATGAGAGAATATTTCAACCCCACAAATGGGTATAAACTTCGTAAAATTTGAATGAGTTTTCAAAATGAGTAAAAACCAAGATCAAATACTTAATACGCATAATACCTTGATGAGGTGAATATTTCTTTCGTCCATCAACCTAAACATAGTCATAGCATTAAAACATTATACATCTATTTTTGTGTCAGATGTGTGAATGTAAATCCCCACACAAATTATTGAATTCAAAATAAAAATGGTACTTGTTTTTGCTCCACATCAAACCTTACCCAATCGGTCATGGAAGTCCAAGAACATTTAGCAGAGGATAACAAAAGATTATTCAATGAGGCTGGCAAGAGACAATTGATTATGGATTGAAAATTTTGCATGTTATTATTTTCTCTTGTACTCAATGATGTAGAATTGTCCACCACACTGACGAGTTCCTCGAATAATTTCTCGAGGTAAATGCTATCCCATTCGGTTACCTTGGTAAATAGGAAAATGCTCTGCAATTGGTTTGGTCAAATTTAATAGTTCTACAACTTTTAAGTAAATATAAATAATAAATTACAATTAACATTTATATAGAAAATTAATGAAAACATAACAGTTTTCCAATATAGATAAATAGATAGATCAAAGACAGGAGGGAACCATTTCCTTGCGCAGTCTTTTAGGAGAACTCCAACGGGTCCATAATGCTTCATCAATGACCAGTATATAAATTGTGAATAGACCATTCCACTGGGTGAAGAACAATAAATGAGAAACTTCACAGAGAGAACTTACAGGGGGGAAGTTCTTATCAATCTTCTAGAAGATATCTGTTTCTTCTGGCACCAAAAGCAAGTCTCTGAATAACATGGTAAACATGAAACAATTAATTGATGGCAAGTAGGGAGAAAAACGTTTCAACTTAATTGAGCAGTAATTAATCATTTCTTAACTGAGAAAATCTGGGAATAAGCTTTCAGTCCAGTGAGAAAACGAATGTATGTGGGCCTTGTTGAACCATTGGCCGGGATAGATCTTATGTTTGGGACAAGGTATTCTGCGACCTGTAAACTCAAATGTTAAACGCCAGATGAAGAAAAATGGCAGATGTAAAAAATTATAAGCCTTTTAATGCTCTAAAAGATTAGTGCATTTGTAGTGTTAGTAGCGAAGTTCATGAAGGAATATAATGAAATTGTATGCAAAAATATTAATGAATCAACAAATGTCTCGTTGGATAACCATTTAAGTTTAGAAAATTGTGATTATTTTCTTACCTTTTCTTTGCAATAGTTTCCATCTTTCTAAAAGAGTTTGAAATCATAACCAAATTCCAAAAACTAAAATAAGGTTTCGCTTGGATTTTGAAAAAATCTCCCAAAAAAAGTCAAAGAAATTCATAGGTAAAAGTAGTAGTGTTGTTAAGTTTAACTTTTAAAATCCAAATAGTCAGTCGAATTGGGACTTAATAAAATTCAACAATTGTGAATGAGATTAAGGGGAATTTTTCTTAGGCTTGTAACCATGCGATGAAGGTCACTTATAGAATACCGCAGACATGGACAACTGCATACTACGAAAAGATCAGTATGGGCATAACGAGATTCAAAACATTACCACTTCAGGCGGTTCCGCTAAGACATTGATGAAAAATTTCGCCTGCAAGAGGTCAACTATTTTAGTTTTTCAAAATTCGTGAATTTATTAAGAAAAATTAATCTAAAAGAATGTGTCGTCAACCTGCTTTGTATTAGCACCAGACATGAGAAGATCAGTTGTGACCATCCCCGGCTGCAAGACCAAATAACACAAAAAACGTTATAAGTAAAGAACGGAAGATATAATTCTGTGGTGTTAAGATTAAGAACCTTTCTAACGGACCTTACATGGTTTTTTAACAATTTCAATATATTATAATCTCGAATATATCCCTTGGAATTTCAAGGATCTTATTTATGAAAATGATGCAAGATTCAAAATATCACGAAAAAATCAACACCAGAAAAATATAAATAAAATTCTCAATCAGTTTTGACAAATAGGTTGAGATAGAAAATTTTATACTCAAGTTGAAAGCATAAAATTGTGTACTAACACACCGAAAGATTGTGCACCACAACGTTTTTGACGTCCTGCATCCGCAATTCGGCCTGCAGATAATTTTTAAAAATCATGGAAATATTATTACTAAAAGAAAAAAAAAAGTCACTTATGGAACGTTGAATGACGAAAAAGGAATAGAAGAGTATGAATGACGAGGAAAAGGAATAGAAGAGAGTATGAATGAGGAGAAACAAGAAGTTAGATTCTTTATATTTCTTAACGACGAATGACAAACCCTTTTCAATTACTTTTTGGTTGCTTAGAGAAACCATAGTACTTTAGAGTCTTGATGGCAGGGACTTTCCTAGGTCTTCATTGTTAGATTCTGGTGGTATTTGGCTCTTGAAATGATCGTTCACCCAACAATATAGTCCAGGGATCTTCATGATAAGGTCACCCCAGATATGCACTCCAAATGCTAATAGAGTTTCTTCCCAATATTATAAGTGGTCAAAATTGATCATCCTCGGCATGACTACTATATTTGAATCAAACAGAGCTGATGCAGATTACTCTATTTGCTGCATAACGCATCGATGCTTCCTATTTAAAGTACGATCCCGAATGAAAACTAATTTATTAGTGTGTGCGCGATGAGTGTGTGCGTGTGAGAGAGAAAGAGGCTCAAGTAGCCAGTTTAGGATTAATAACAGAAACTAAATGATTGTTTTATTTTATTTAAGACATTAGCTAAATAAGGTAAGCAAGTACCTGTAATGACTTCGTTAAATGGACAACACTTCTTTTAGTTGCCCCATATGCAGCAAACCTAAGGAAAGACAGAGATCAGCCAACAACATTTCTTTTTTTCAGTTACAGAGTAAGTGACCACTACATAAACAGGGTGAACGCATTTAAATAACGTTAACCCACTTTAATAGCCTCCTTGAAAAAATAACAATTTGTCTTACCGAAGAAAAAAAAAACAAAATCAATCATTACACAGTTTTCTAGCACAGAGTTTAGTCCATCCATAAACAAGCGGAGTTTTGCAGTCCTGTCTAGTATAGATATTCAAACTGATAATCCTAATAATTGCATATGAGATAATCCTTAGATTCGTCAGAAATCCATCACATGTTTCAGCATAAAACTATTCGCTCCATCTTTTATTCAAGTAATGGAAATAAAAGGATCCCTGAAATTAGCAGATGCCATTGCACCGCTGCAATTTCCAAAGCAGGTCCATCATATAAGATTGAGCACATTGTGCATGTCATCTAAATGAATCACAGATTTCTCATGCTTTTCCCATGTCTTCTACATTCTTCTTAAAGAAATTATACATATGATAACAACATCATAACGACCTCAGACAAAAGAGAGAAGGCAAATGATAGAAAAAACAGCACCTAGGGGTAGGTCGTCCATCAGAACCAGCCCCATCAATGTTGAAAATATGACCCCCTCGAGGTTGGTTTAACATCATCTTTATTGCCTAAACAAGAAGTCAGGAACTATGCATGATTTACAAGCTAAAAATGTTGAGTGTATGATGAAGCAGTACATACCTCTCGGCAACATATCATCAAACCAAGAGCATTTGTAGTGACAACTTCGCTGCATTAGAGAGTGTCTAAGGAATAAACCAAAAGGATTTCTATTTCATGTCATTGAGGTTTGGAGATCAGGAGTAACCTCACATGAGATCTTCATCTGAAGCCTCGACCAAAGGCTTAAAGCTATAAGCATTTGATCCTGCATTATTGATCTGCATTGTTCTTGCAATAAGTTAAAATGACAATAGAAGCAAACAAAATTCACCAAATTAACTATAGGGCATAAAACAACAGACTCGTCATATCCTCTCATGACCTTCAAAATTGATCGACAATTTAAATAGAACAAAATGAAACGTTTTTAGTTCTTTTAAGTCCAGTTTCCTATGATATGCAGACATTGCCATATTGAAACTGTTGTATTATGAAAATGTACACTTTGTTTGAAAATATCTAAGAATTGTATTTGCTTTAGGCCAGCACTTCTCAGACCTCCATGACATGATACGGCTATTCACATCATATGACAAACAAGCTGGGTTGAGGCACCTTTTTAGTGGACATGTCAATAGCATCAACATACAGGACAGATTTTTCTCATGTCAACAGCTACTATATCATAATTGATATCGTTATCTGTACTGTTTGCTTAATTACTCAAGTGTGAAAGGAGTATACATGTATATATATGGACAGACATCATGCTCTACTATCAAAAAATCTCTAAGGTTTCCATCGAGTTGCAATATTAACCACATCACAACCACCATGAATCAATCAATAGTAAAAGAGACAAGTTGTAATTTAGATGGTCTCAAGGTTACAGATTTAAGTTCAAACCTTAGAGGCCACCTGCCTAATATATTCAATATCATATAGGTCTTCTTTTAGAGTGAAAATATCATATAGGTTCTTTGATGTCAAATAAACATATGTTCAAGTTATTAGAAAATAGAAATCAAGATAGCGACGCTCTTTGTGTAGAAGGTGATGAGAAGGAAGAATTTGAAGTAAATACCCAAATGTCAATATATTTAAGATTTTTCTGCACAAATGTGACTAAATTCTTTACATCCTCTCCTTCTCGCACGTCACATTTAGTACCCTGAAAAGGAGAATTAGAGTTAAAACAATGAGCTTGGAGCATCGGCAACTGCTTTAATTGTAAATAGTACATAGAAACAATGAAATGATAGAAAAATGGTAAATGAACTTCTGCAGAGAAAAATTTAACTGAAAAAGTCTAGCAGGAGGTACCCACACACGCTGCTCCCCAAATTCTTCCCTCAGGCTTTGAACAGAAGACTCAACCCTCTCAGCTGTTAAAAGATATTGTGGAGTAAATGCAACAAACGTACCTCCAGAGGTGTTATTGGAAATTTAGTGCATTACATTAACAGATGAAACTTAAACTGCTTCATGATAGTAACTTTATTGTAAACTTAAACAGCTTTAACGAGTGCAAGTCACACCCTACTAAGAAGCTGACAGTAACCATAAATCAAAATGGAAATCAACATAAAATTACAAAATCGTGAGCATCTTGATAATCCTATAGACATTCCTACTGAAAAGGAGGAAAAAATAATCAAAACAAGAACTATAAAGGTGCAAAATCTCGAGAATGACTAGAATCCATACCTAATCAATCAACACAAAATAATAATAATAATTAATGTGAACCAGGCTTAGGTCTATAAATTAAAAATAATTACAAACAGATGAGAACCCGTATCTTTCAAATTCAAAAATAACGGAAAATTTTGAAATTCTTTGAGACAGAGAAACTCGTAACATGTTAAAGATTGAAACCGCGGATTCAAGCTTCTCCAGATAGCTGAATTAGACTAATATCCTATAGCTGACAATATGGATGAAATAAATTACAAAAAAAAACCCATGCCTATCTACAAAGTAATCTACAATCATTCAGAAAGGTGCTACCCTGAACAAGACTGAAAATGACCTCTACATGCAACGATTATATTAGTGGGTGAGTGGGTGAGTGAGTATTCAAAAAGGAAATTCTTTAATTAATGTTCTAAAATCCTGTACAGATATATTTACAGTCCTATGGGAGTGTACATGAACGGGAGGAGAAAGAAGGTCGAGAAGAAGTATCATGATGATCATAGTGCAAATGTTACCTGATCGTGAACAGATGACAACATTGTCACCTGCTTTCAGAAACTGTTTGGCCAACGCGTATCCTATTCCTGGATAAATTGCAAATGTCAGTAGAAAACACCATAGAATATGGAAGTCAAAGGCACTGAAGCGTCAAAGAAAATAAAATCAGCAAATTCTTCCGAAGCACTTATAGAAGAAATAAAAAATGAAAAATGAAAAAAAAAAAAAAAAAACTCTTTCAATCCCAAGGATCTGTAAGTAGATTAGAATAAGATTAGAATTACCCAAAAAGACAATTGAGATAAAAGCATTTTCCGTGGAGTTGGATGGATAGCCTAAGAACTGATAGTTCATTGGCCCTCATAGCCATAGAGTTAATAGCATCATATGTCCAGAGGCCTAATTTATTCGGTTTATGAATAACTTGGCAATTCAAAGTATATCTTAGCACTCCATTTAAAGGCTCAAATTTCAATTGTTTAGGCTCTAACCATATCATTTATCCATCTCTTAGCTAATCCTATTCCTGACAAATAAAACTTTCAAATAACTCTCCAAACATCAAGTTTGACTTCAATCATGTGGTATATGCTCGCGAATCTTAAAGGAACATTAAAGTTTACTCATCCAAATTCCTAGTGTACACCTGAAACATCTATACATATATCTTCCAATTCTCAACAAAATACAGCCAGGAAGTTTCTCAAAATCAATTCCTACAAAAATTCAAGTCAATCAGACATACAAATACACACTCCACCACCAAATTTTTCGTCGAACAGAAAAAATACAGTTAAACGACCACAGTACCGCAGTTATTTCTTGAAAAAACGACATCAGATGCCATAAGCAATAAATTCAAGCAAAATAACAAGCGAGAAACCAGCAGGAAATTGATAGATTCAAAAGGAAACCAAAACATAACGCAATGTGAAATAAACGAGAGATAGAGAGAGACGAAAGAAACACCGTCACACCTTTAGTGGAGCCGGTAATCAAAACGTTGTAAGGAGGAACCATCGGCTCCGTCTGCTGAAGTCCTTCGGCCTTTATGGATACGGAATTCCACTTCACGACGCCATTCGTTGGAATGTTGGACACCTCGCGCGAACAACCTATGGAACGACTGAAACTCTCCAATTTACAGAGTGATAGGCGGCGTATGCCGGAAGGAGAAGAGAAGAAGAAGCCATGGTGGTTATGAGAGATGAACGTGGCCGGGAAGAAGAGAGAGGAAGAAGAAAATGAAGCCATTTCGCGCGGTAGAAATTTCCAGAGCTCATTCGTTGGTTACTTAAATGGATAAAATTTGTTCTTCGTCTTTCTTCAAGCAACGTCTTAGTGGTAATCATCATTGTTACGTTTTACAAAAGGAATTAATTTATAACTAATTAAATAACTAATTTTTTTAATTAAATTAAGCTTAAAAAATAATTTTTAATTTCTTTTAATTTCATCAAATTAACCTCCTCCCTCAATTTGGCTGCTAATTTTAACCCAGTCAAATTGTAAATATCTATTAAAAAAATTGTTTAATTAAATTGAAGCTCGGTAAAAAATGTAAATTTTGTTAATGCACAAAATCAATCATTAAATAACTCTGAATTATAATGTCTTCGACAAAAGAACAATCTTAATGTCGTTTTTAAATTTTTTTTTTTTTTTTTACTTTACTTTTCAAATTTTGGTATTTAAATATATATATATATATATATATATATATAATTTAGTTACCGTGATTAATAACTCTTTTAATCAAACTATATCTTATATTTTTGTCACATGTTATGAGATCTCATATCAGTTGGAGAGGAGAACAAAGCATTTTATTATGAAAATCTCTCCAACATATGAGGCTGACAATGATGGCTAAAACAAATAACATTTGCTAGTGGTGGGTTGGACTGTTGCAAATGGAATCAGAGCTACACACCGAACAATGTGGTGGCCTAAAACAAATAGCCAGACATCAAACGATGTGATGGGCTACAACAATAACATATGCTAGCTATGGGTTGGACGGTTGCAAATTGAATCAGAGCCAGACACTGAACAATGTGGTGGGCTAAAACAAATAACATCTGCTAGCGAGTTGGACTGTTGCAAATGGAATCATAGCCAGGTGGGCTAAAACAAATAGCCAGACACCCAATTAAATTAATAAACCAACATCTCCCCTCGAACAAAGTACACCTCCTCTTATTTGAAGTTCGACTCTTTTTCTTTTAGAGTGTTAGTCATTTTTTACTATACCTTCGATGAGCCTCGACTCCTTTTCTTTTGAAGTCCTTTGCTTGACATTTGAGGATTCTATTTACATGGTTAAGTTTATGGCATAATTATGATATCATGTTAGATGAACACGACTCTCCACCATAGTATGATATTGTTCACTTTGAGCATAAACCTAATCCGAATTATAGAGCTATGACACAATCAAATCCGAACAATAAGCTATCATGACTTTGCTTTGGATTTTCTAAAAAGTCTTATCTCCATTCAATGAAGATAATATTCCTTGATTATAAAGTCATCATCGTTTTCTAAATTAGTAGATGTGAGATTTTCATCCTCGAACAAATTAAGTGAAGCTCCGATTACACACCCGTTAAGACAGCAGCCCCAATCATCACCACCGGCCAGTTTTCTTCCATCATCGCCCCGCCGATCTTCTTCACTTCCGCCACCAGTCCTAACGTTTCGGCCCCTTCGACGCTAGGTTTTTCCTCCTCACTGTCTTCTTTAGCCCCCAACGATTCACCGACGAATATCGCAACTTCTTGCCACGATGTTACCTCTTTCCTCAGAGATCTGAAGTCCGATTTCTTCGTGGTTTCCGATAAGACGACGGCAGCGCAGGAACCCTAGCAGGTAATTTGTCGCAATAATTCCCTCCTTCCTTCACTCCGTTGGTCGATTTCTGATCGTAAGGCGGCGGTGCCTGAACCCTACCAAGAAATTTTTCGCGATCTTCCCCTACCTTCGATCTGAGCATAATGATGTGAAGAACGTTGTCTCGAAATAGGCCATAGATTCCGGTGACTAAGCGGCCGGCCGGAACGGTAAATTGATGAACGAATCTTCTTTCCCGACGGCTCATCGCGATAGACCTTTATCAGATCCCTTGGGCACAGCCTTCATAGAAATCGTACAATTCCACAATTAACACAATTAAAATAAAAATAAAAATAAAAATAAAAAATAAAAAAGTTTAACCCTATCTTCTAAGATTAAATAAATAATATCAATTTATTTTTGTTAATAGTTATAAATAATTTTACTTAAATATTTAAAATCTAATATTTCATTTAAATCTTACACTTTCTAGATTTGAATTGCCAACTATATATTTAATCTTTAAAATTTAAAATAAAAAGAAATAAAGTAAATTGAAAATATAAAAATATAAAAATATAAAAAAAATTTAGAAATTCAAAGCACGTCTCATAAAAATATGGTAGGTTGGAATCTTATGCCATCGTACTTTTGAAGTCGTTCCAAACCAACCCATTATTTTTGTAATTTATTTATTTATTTTGTTTATGCTTTCGATTTTATAACTCATTTTCTTGTGGACAACTCGATTCCTTTCTCCACTATTTGGGTGGAATATTTATAATTTAGGTTAGATTTACTTCAGGGGTGTTCATATGACCCGATAACCCGACAAACCTGAATTACCTAACTCAAATCATAAAGGTTGTGTTGGGTTAGATTATTATTTTTTTTTTTTTTCCGGTTTGGGTTTTGTTAAATTTTTTGAAAAGTGAAAATTCGAGTCGATTTGCGAATTGATATTTTTTTGATTGGGTCAGCTTGACCAACCCGACCAAATTAGAATTAAAGTTAGAATTCTACCTTACTTTTAAGATTATTATGAAGACTTTAAAGGAATAATTTTTTACGTACATAAATGTAAATATTCAATTTATTCATATTCAAGTGCACAATAACATCGTTCTTCACACACGATTCAATTACGGGTATCGAAATACACAAACTCTATTATGTACATAGAAGATGATCATTATTCGTTATGAACGTAAATCTTCATTTAGATGGAAATGACGATTTATTTCTTCTTGGGAAAGGTAATAAAAAGAGTCTGATCATGCAGTCTTGCAAACACTCCGTCTAGGGAGAATGTGTCGTCGATCGGTATACGTTCGTTCAAACGAATAATGTTGAATAGGCCATCTTGTTTCTGTCCAGTAATTGTGAGAGTCCTTGTTGTTGCATTCAAGGTGATTTGTAGTCGATTCTTTGGAAACCCTAAACAAGATCGATGAAATATATTCATTTGACCACCTCTCTCTCTATATATAGATACATACATATATACATGTATACATACGTGTATATATATAATCTTAGTTGAATTTACCTGGAAGTTTCATGTTCAGTATTTGGTTGTGTTCCTCGTCTACCCATTTTGTATCGGGAGAAAACTGTTGATCTGAGCGAGTTACGTCTCTCCAATCTTGTTCCACGATCTGGCTCGACATCGAAAGAGCTTTATGGCTTACGTTCAAAGAGGTGAAAAAATTTGAGGAGAAGGGTAAAATGGTAATTTCTTATATGAACTAGATGGCTAGTATTGGGTGTTTGTACATGCAAGAGAAGAAGCATTTATATATGGCTCTTTCTACTTTAGCTATTTTTTAAAAGCTTATTCTTTTCACTTTGCATTTGGCTTTATTTTGAGGCTAAAGTGGAATATATATCAAGTAATGGGTGGAAAAAAAGGTATATCTCTAGATTGTTCCAATTGTATATCGATTTTTTTTAATAAGTTTGGCAAGAGGTCGATATGCTTTTGTTTACCTTGCCGAATAAGAAAGCTCAAACACATGCAGGTCAGACGAGATGTAACGTTTCTAGTGGTAGACGGGTGAGTAACGTGGAGAACCTACCTTTGGAAGGGAAATAACAAATGGGAGATTAACGATTGAACGGTTGGCTTCTCGATTGAGAACATATGTCTAACCTGTTGAGTTACGTTTAGATTGCTGAAAATATATGTATATCCTATAAACACTGTGTGAGATCCCATGTCACTGGGAGAAGAGGACAAATTATTTCTTATAAAGGTGTGAAAACCTTTCCCTAGTGGACATGTTTTAGAACATTAAGAGGAAGTTCAAATAGGACAATACAGTGAGTTTAAGCGGTTACAAATGGTATTAGAGTCATACATCAGGCGGTATGCTAGTGAGGACGTTGAGCTCTATAAAGGGTGGATTGTGAGATCTCATGAGCCTCTTATTCCTTAAAAGGGCGTGATGTCTCACATTGGTTGGGGAAGTGAACAAAACACTCTTTAGAAGGGTGTGAAAACCAAAGAAAGAAGGAAGGAACCTGATCCGGAACGAATCTTATGAATGACGAAACCTAATTGAACTTGTGTAAAGACCATTTCTTATTAAATTGAGACTTTTCCTTTTTGGGCTATTTTCCTTGATTGAACTCGGTAACATAGTAAGAAGTTAGTCTTTCTCCGGAACAGTCAGTCAAGAAGAAGGTCAAGCTCCATACTTCCCCTAGCAGACAACATTTTAAAGCTTTGAGGGGAAGTCCGAAAGGGAAAACCCAAAAAGGACAATATCTGCTAGTGGTGGATTTAGGTCGTTACAAATGGTCACACATCGGACGCTGGGCTCCAAAGAGGGGTGGATTTGGAGGGAATCCCACATCGATTGGAAAAAGAAACGAATGCTAGCGAGGACGCTGGGCCTCGAAGGGAGGTGGTTTGTGATGTCCCACATTAGTTGGGGAAGAGAACAAATCTTCTCCTAGTAGACATGTTTTAAAGCTTTGAGGGGAAACCCAAAGAGACAATATCGCATATCTGCCCAATCTGCTGACGGTGGATCTTGGTCCTTACAAAGGGTGTGGTGGAACTCTAAGGGAAAGCCCGGAGGAAAAAAAAAACAATATCGGCTAGTGGTGGATTTGACCTCTTAAACACAAAAGACAAATAATCTTGATCGGGTTCTATATTATATAAGTTGTTGGTCCCATTATTTTTTTAATTTGTTCTTATTATGTGGTTTTCTTTTTTCTTCTTTTCCAATTAATAAGAAAACCCTAAACCATTCAACTATTAATGTTTAAATTTGATATAAACAAATAAAGTTGAGGCCGGTCCAATTGAACCCATTTTTGCTCTAAACGACCCAAGCCCATCACCAAGGACAAATAAGCCCTAGCTTTCTTCCATAATCCCAAGACCTAATTATTATTATTATTATAGTTTATTTGAATTTATGTATAAGGTGAATTATTAATTACTAAAATGTTTATAATTAAAACATATAGTTCGTATCGACTCAATCTTATACCGTGTATTCATAAAAATGTCTGTGAGCATAACTCAACGATAATTGATACATATTTCTTCTTTTAAAGTCGGAAGTTTAGAACTCGTCAGTGATACGAGCGTATTTAGTTTAGAACGACAACTCTATCATCTCATCGTTGCACTCATTTTGGGTCCAAGGTAACCAACAGTTTGAACTTATTTTTCATTCAACAGTAATTTTATTAATCTTTGACAGCTAAATACATAACATGCTGGATTGAGAACTCGAACCTACTTGACCATATTTTGATGAAAATTGCAATTGGGTCGAAAGTTTAAAATTTCTACGTTATTTTTTTAATTAAAAAATATTTTAACTTAATTAAAGGATGAAAAATGAAATTTGGTGTATTATAGGAATTTAATTGGAATATACCAATCATGAATATTTTGTTAAAATTTGAGTTTATTGACTTAAGTATTAATTAAAATGTGAGTTTATTGACTTAAATAGTAATTAAATTTGGGTTTATTGACTTAAATATTAATTAAACTTTGTGTTTATTGACAAAATGTCAAAACACACATAAAAACAACTGTTTTGCTCAGCTTACCAATTATAAGCATCACAGGCCAATTGGCCAATTAAATTACAAATATCATAAGTATAATTCCAGTGGATGGTCAGGATTTGGCCGTCGTTCACGAAAAGAACAGCGGTGTCATTTTAGCATCCACAAGTCCCAAATAGTCTGAGGAGATATATAACGGCATAAAATTATAATTAAAAAAAGAAAAAAAAAAGAAAAAAAAGAAAAACACGATTTTTTTTTTTTCAAATTTCTCGCTCATCCTCTGTATCTCTCTCTCTCTCTTTCTGCGCGTGGTCTAATAAAAACCCTAATTTGCTGAATTCCCTACTTTTTTTCCTCCCCCTTTCAACAATTTCCTCAGTATTCCGGCATTGAAGAGAAGACCTCAACTCTGTGTTGTTAATGGCGACAGAGCGTGAGGAGGTTCGTTATGAAGGAGGAAGAGGTGGGAAGTTCCAGAAAAGGCCTCTCAGAAGGGCGCATACGACGCCGTATGATCGGCCGCCGGCTGCTCTGAGAAACTCTGCTGGAAAAGGATGGCTCTCTAAGCTTGTCGATCCGGCGCAGAAGCTCATCACCTCCAGTGCGCACAGGCTGTTTTCTAGCGTGTTTCGTAAACGCCTCCCCCCTCCGCCGCCGTCATTGCCAATTTATCGAGGTTTTTCTTTTTGTTGTTTTTTATTTGCTTCTTAATTGCAAGGCTTTCTCACCGGTTGTTAGAATTGTTTTTGGGCTTTCCATACCGCATTCTTTCTGCTCATACGTTTGATTTTGGAGGCGTTGGCTGAAGATGGCATTTTTTAAAATAATTTTATTATTATTTTGATTTTTTCCCGCGGGAGTTCTTTTAGTCTTGGGGTTTTTATTCTCTTTTCCTGGTGGAACCTGGATTTATTATTTTGTATGGTTTTAGGCGTGTTGAACTATTCTATCTCATTTAGAACTTCAATTATTTAAATGTCATTACTTTACGTGATTCCATGCTTATGAACTTGAAGCATGTCAAAGTGCAGGTTTCAACGCTTACTAGTCGAATTCTATCGAGTCTGCTTGGAATGTTGTTTTGTTTTCGTTGCTTGGATGTCACATATGTTAAAAACATCAGGAATAGTCAGAGTGTGATTCTTCCATAGCATTTCTAAAATGATCCCCCATATAAAATTTAAGAATTGGTTTCAATTTTTATTTTCAAAAACTTCGTGAAAATAAATATTTTGTCCTTGTTTCATGTACTTAAGCTCAAAGGCAAGGTCAATGGCGTTATGTATGCATGCATGCATGCATGTATGTATGTATTTACAGTTTTTCTCAATTATAGCCAATTAGAAGTCCATTTACCATTTGGCTCCTTTTGTATTTTAACCCATGAATGAGATATTTTTGTTTCCCATAATAATGTTAATCTAAGAACAATATCTTTTAAGTATGTTATACGAGGTAATAACCAATAATAGTTGATCGCTGGTTGTTTAGAAGACAGCTTACAGATACACACGTAAACAGAAAAATTCTTTTCCTTTTTATGCTGGTTGTTCTGTTTATTGTCATTCAAAATTATTTCGCTGAACAAAGATTCTGTAAAAACACTTTTAATATTTTAAACTAAAAATTGTTTCTAGAAATTGCTCTTGCTCTTAAACATTTTAATCTCTCATATAATTTTTTTTTCCCCACGGAAGTAACTTGCAAGATTTTGAATTATATCAATGTTGATAGCCATTTAGGAAGCATGAAGCCATTATTTTATTATGCATTTTGGAGTTGATACCTTTGTGCGTGCATTGACTTTTGACTTGGGGTTGGTTGCTATAATGTGTTGATAAATAATTGATAATCGCATGGGACTGTGGCAGAAGTTTTTCATTTGATATTTAGATTTCTGCTTAATCTTTGACTGTCCTGCCCTTGCATTTTATACTTCCAGAGGCAAATGATGAGATGGAAATTAAGAACCAGGAAGAAGTTGCAGCTGTAAGTTTTATCTGTTATATGTTTTGCTTATCAACAACCTTTGCATCTGTATCTTGTATTTTTTTAATCCAATTCTGCTTTTGATCTAAAGCACGATACGTCGTCACTGTGTTTTCCCCCTTCTATGTACATACTTGTTTGGCTTCCACATTTCACTATTCCAGATATTGCGAGGTTTTTTTTGTTATTTTTTCCTCTTTCTTTTGACCAATCTGGATTTCTTCTTTGTTTCTTTCAGATTTACAATAAAAGTCATTTTAAACTGTTCGTTTGAAAAAAAAAAAAAAAAAAAAAAGACGTGATAGACCTATGTTATTTTCATGAATGCATTAGTATCCTTATCAGTGAAGTGAAACTTCTTGCAAAAATCTGAGAAATTTGTGTTGCCGTAGTCTTAACTTCTTTGTCAACATTTTCTGAATTTTAATTGTTCTTTAGGATTCTCCTGGAACTCAAGAAGGGACTAATAATGATTTTGTTCCAAGCATCAATTCTAATAACATACATGGGGTGAGTGACCTCGAGAAAATTTTGAAGGAGAAGACCTTTACAAGGTAAATATTTGAGTGCTTGTTGGTGAAATTATTTTTAGTTGCATTCCTCAGTTCTGTTAGAAGATTTGCCTGGTTTTGTTGCTTTTCTTTTTCTTGTTAATATTTCATTGAGGGTCCTGTATGAAAATTTGAGTTTGCATAAATTGCGATTAGTTACATGGTAAGAAATCATGAAGCAGCATGAAAT